GCACATCGCTCACTCAGAAGATTCATCGGTTAGCTTTAGCTATTGAATAAATACAGAATACGAGAATACAGAATAAATAAATATAAATAAATAATACTCTATACCCATGATATATAAGCTAATACTTACAAGGGAAAGGCACCGAGTCAAGCTGGGCTTTTGACTTGAGACATCTTATAGAATCCGTCTTGAGTCTGTTTTTAGCTTTGCTGAACGCGAGATTTTCGAATTTCGGGCTCCTTAAGAAGCCACCACACGCTCCATCAACAACTGCTTCGGTCTTCTAGTGGATAGTCTGCTAGAACTGGCTGATCTGCCGAACCTGTTACATTTTTGCCCCCAAGTTCGAGTTCCACTCTCGCCAAACTTGCAAAAAATGTAGTAGATTCGGCATTTTAGCAGACTATCCACTAGACAACTGAAGCAGTTGTTAAGCTAGCGTGTGACGATTTCTTAACGAGTCCGAAATTTAGATATCTCGCGTTCCGCAAAAACTAAAAACGGATTATCGATCCTCATGACTCTATAAGATGAATTTGGCCTCAAGTCAAAAGACCAGCTTGACTCGGCGCCTTTCCCTTGAATATCCAAAATCTACTTTAGCGGTGTCTGGAAAAACTCGCAACTCTTGGGGAAAAAGTCGTGGAGCGCTGTATTGTCCGGGATGCAGGTGAGTGATGAAATATGACGTGATATAAGATAGATTTTCTCAAAATCTATAAATTCTATATCTAAATCTATCCTAAATCTATCCTAAATCTTTCCTAAATCTTTCCTAAATTTATTCGAAATCAAATTTCCAGTATTTTGCCCCGGTTTCGATCAGCGAGGGCGCAAACAAGGAGCGTTTCCGGTGGTTGGGCAGAGAGGTAGGCTATTTTTGAAGTCTAAAAAGGATTGGAATGGAAAATAGAAAATAGTTAGCTATGCACTAGACAAGTATTAGATAATGTTATTAATTTTACTGTAAAAACCTTTAGGTGATAGAAGAGAAAGCCCGGGATATCTCAATGGACACTCTATCAAATTACATTGCGACTGGAGAGGCTGTGGGTGGAATTGTGCAAGGAAATGCGACAAGTGGTTGGTTTAGAGTAATGCTAATTTTAATTTATTCAGGAACACACTCGAGTTTCGAGTTAAATATTGTCAAGATAAAGCTGATAAGCTGAAAAAGCTGATAAAGCTGATAAAGCTGATAAAGCTGATAAAGCTGAAAAAGCTGAAAAAGCTGATAAAGCTGATAAAGCTGATAAAGCTGATAAAGCTGATAAAGCTTGGCCTATTTCTGCCAAAGTTTTTGCATTGAAAAGAATTTAGTGGAATCTTCATCGACTTTCACTCCAACTCCATCGGTTTCTCTTCAACGAATTGTCTCTCGTTGTTCGTGTGAGATCTATTTTTGTTACTTCAGCGAGAATCTCAAGACTGACGCTTTAGAGGAAACGGCTTTGCCACCGGTTTGTGATTACTTTTGTCCACAATATTGTAACCCTAGATGAATCCCGAGGTTCACACATTGGATGACGATCAAATGGTCGATTGTCTCACCGTTAAGCACAATATGTTAGAGGTTCGAATTATCTGAATTGATCAAAAGAAAGATCTTTCTTTAGTCAAGCAGTAATTCGGCTCAATATGAAATGGTTGTTGATATCATCAACAATCTCGTTCTTTTCATTGATCCAAAAAAGAAAGAAGTGGCTGAACATCGACGAAGATTACGGTAAAGAGATGAATGATGTGAATTCGATGAGATTTGGCTTTAGATTTGAATGTCAAATGATGAATATGCAACAAATGAGGGAAAGTATCGTTGAACAACAGGTAGAGAAATTAGGGAAATAGCTTTATTGAAGCTAGAAAAAACAACTAAAGCTTTAATCATTCCCAATTTTAGACAGAACTTCGCGAAATTGTGACAATGGTTCGATCATTGGAACGACAAATCTATTATATTGATACGTTATCGGAAAATGAAAGAGACAAAGAAGCGAGTAAAAGAAGGGTAAAGAAAAGAGGAGATGGATGGATGAGTTCAAGGAAATAAAATTGCAGGATCTAGCTGCTGAAATGGAAGATTTCAAAGCTCAACAATTGGAGGTTTCTGATCAATTGGCTATCTTTATCAGGTAAAGAAATATTCACGTTTGAAATTGAAGAGATTCCTCATTTCAGTTGCTACAAACAGCGTCAAGTGGAACAGTTGAGAGCGGCGGCTGTTTCGGCGAGAGTTGAGGCTGATCAACAAGCACCAGTGGCTAGGAGATTTGAGGTAAAAGCATTGTGAATTTGAAATAACTAACAGGGAATGGTCTCAGCTCGAAGTTGAGAATCGATTCGAGATCGGATCTTATAGAAAATACTGATTCCGAATCTGCAAAAATTAGCTGCCGATTTGGATGCAAACGCGTGGAATCTGGCATAGAAAATGCTGTAAAATTATGCATAAAACATAAATATTTAATGCAAATGGGTAAAAAAAGATTTTTCCAAAAAACCGAGAAAATTGGCTAGAGGAGGATTCGAACCCTAGCTAAAGGACCCAGGGAGGCCCGCAGACTAGCACACTATCCCCCTAGACCACAGAAGCCGTTGGAGGCTTCCTTGTAGCGGCCGGATAAATTTGAGCGAATCGAATCGATTCTCAACTTCGAGCTGAGACTTCAATCAAATTTTGGACTCTTTATCTGGCTGCCACAAGGGAACCTCTCAACGGCTTCTGTGGTCTGGTGGTTGGTGTGCTAGTCTAGGGAACCTATGAAGCTTTCTTGGCTTGGGTTCGAGTCCTCCCCTAGCCAATTTTCTTGCTTTTTTTGGAAAATTCTTTTTTTACTCATTTGCATTAAATGTTAAATGTTTTATGCATCATTTTACATCATTTTACATCATTTTGTATGCTAGATTCCTCGCGTTTACGTGCCCTTGTAAGATTTTTCTATTCAAATCAAGATTTGAGTTTATAAGTTCTTAAAGTTTTAGGTGTGTTTCGAGGATTGCATTTGGAAGTTGACGGAAAGCGATGGGCAAATCGGGGTGGCCGCTTTGCAGATCAGAAATTTCTTGTAAGAAATATGAATGTCTTTTCCATCTACCCAATTCCCATCATTCAGATACACTCGAGTGATTCGCATTGACAACAGTGGTGAGCATTTATTCGAGGTCGGCACAATCCGAGTCACCAATCTTCTACGCGACAAATCCGACACAATCTACAAGGTACATATTTGATGTTTTTAAAAAAGCTATAAAAATATTGTGCAATTTCCAGGACACTCTTCACCAAGATGAACGAGTCACCCATCTACAGCCGGCCATTCGAATCCTTTTACGTGATATGCCACCCGGTGAGTGACAGTTATACAGTTATGCAGCTATACAGCTATCCAGCTATACAGCTATACAACTTCTTAAAAGTAACATCAACCCCTTTCCAGTTGCGGGAATCTGTGTGAAAGAGCATTTCGAGGTGAACATCTCCCCAATGGTCGCTCAAATCACATATCGTTTCTTCGACGCGATCATGTCGTTCTTCTTCCCGGGCCAAAACATTCATAATCAAGAAGAGATTGATACGAGTCAAGAAGAGGGAAATCAGGTTCACAAATTTGGGGGAAAACTTTTACTTTCGCTAAGTGATCAATGTTAAATTATACTCGATACGTACAAAATATTCGAAACTTCTCTTCAGAAAATGTCGTTAACGCGTCGATTGGTCAATATTCGATCATCAAAGACGGGAGCTCAATTTGACAGAAAACAGAGCACTCTCTCGACGAGACCAACTGCAAGCAGGTAACAAAACGTTGCGAACAATAGAAGTGTAGTCGAGCCGAGTAGTCGAGCCGAGTAGTCGAGCCTCCTAGGGTTCACAATAGAGGATAGCACAGAAAACCCCTTGAGAGGAAAGGGCGTGGAAAAGTAGCCTCAATGTCTCCTCGTGGTGGATTGCCAGAGCGTCTGTCTCTCAATCCGCGTAAGTGGGGTTTGACCCCGCCTGCAGTCGTTTCCTTTTGGCGAATACCGCGATCCTTAGTTCCCAAGATAGAAGTTTGAACAGAACACTTTTAGAACAGAACTTTCCATTTAAACTCTAACCTTGCAATCAATTTACTGGATTTGCAGAAACTTCGAACGTTTCGATGACATTGATCGAATGAGAGAAAGAGCTGATAAAAATAATCTCTTCGTTTACATCAAAATCCCAGAAGTGCCATTTGTCGTCTCGTACAAGGTAACCAATTGATTAAGCAATACAAAGGCCACAAATTTGCAGGGTAAAAAGGAGAAAAATCTTCTCGATGTCGATCGCTTCCATTTCGTTTTTCCTCTTTGTGAGTACCACGAGAGAAATTGGACATGGCTCGATGTGATTGTCTGTGTAAGTTGGATGTTTATCTTTTGATGTATTTGTTGTAAGTCTCCCACTTCAATTAATCCATCTTTCAGGTGAAACAGCGTGTCAGACGGGTCCTGCTACAACAGGTGAACTGATTAGAAAATAATTCTTGAGTCTCAATTTTAATAAAACCTTTTAGTTCATGAAGCAAAAGCTGCTGCGAAATCGCTTAGTTGGTGGAGGACCAGACCCGTTTGAGGGAGTGACTGAAGATGACAAAAAGAGGATAGCGTTGGGCACGGTGAGTTGCGGAGAAATTAAAGTGCCCTAGCACTTGTTACACTAACAAAGCCCATAATTACAAAACTAAAGTTTTTCAGACTTCTACAATGGAGAAGAAAAAGAAGAAATGAAGGACTTGATCCCATTCTTTACCATCTCCTTTTCGGGTTTTTGCATTCTTTTTCAATTGTTCCCGCTTTAACTTATTTATTTCTCGAGTTTGCTATACATAAGTACAACAAGAACAAAAAGCAACGGGTATGGAATAAAGCTATTTTTAAAAATACATAGAAAACAGTGAAAAACAACAACAAGTGAACATGGATCAATTATGGGCAGAGATCAAGGAGTTTACAACAAAAACCCGAAAATTTAATTAGCCTAGCAACGATGAAGTTTTGGGAAACTTTCTTGGAGATGGTGGAGCTAAATCGGAAATAATAAGTGATAAAAGATAACCAAAATCAACCTCTCTTTGATGGACTTGGTGGGACATTTGGAAGCACTTGATTTAGCACCGGATTGAGTTTGGTCATGGGCAGTTGAATGGTCGATTTTGAGGGCGTCAACCTGTGCTCAAGTTGTTATGCTAAAGCTGCTTGCAATACAAACCTCTTAGCCGAATTGAAAGAGTTTGTAGAAGCAGTAGGTGCTTGTAAGCATGCGATAGATTTTGAAGGTGTCAACCTAGAAGAAAACAGACTAAAGCTAAAAAAACTTGAACTCACCGATTATTTTCTTCGTTGTTGAGTTTGAAGGGTTGTAGATGAACACTGGATGCCGCCGGAGTTAAACGACTCAAACCACTAAAGTACTTGAATACAAATCTCAAAAAATAATAACAGACCTTGGTTTAATCCTTGAGTAAACAGGTGTCACCGGGAAACGTGGCAAAGGAGTCGGTCTATCAAAATCGTCATCAGGACTGATACAATTTGGAGGAGGAGATGGGATTTGAACCTAAAAATAAATCAATAGACAAACAAACGACTAAATCTGAAATAATTTTAACTTCAACCGACCTTTGCATAATTCATCCTCAAGGGAGTTGCGGTTTCATTTTGTGGTCGAGGCCGAGTGGGCGCATTTGATTGACGGCTGGCTGAGAGAAGATCAACAAATGAAGCGGTAGCCGGTCGAAGACGAGAAGTTGAGATTACACGGCTGATTGAGCGCTGTAAAGAAGCTGATGCAGTCATTGAAGTAGGAGTTTGAAAAGCAAGTGCAATAGGTGGCAGGTCTGGTTTATCTAAAAAAAAACTTTTTACAATAATTACCCAAGATTTACTTTGTTCAATACATTCTGCGAGATTTGAAGTAGAACTTGAACGAGGAACGGAGGAAGAACGGCGCATTCTAAAAGCAAAAGTTACAAATTTAAAATTTTGGGTCTACCTTGGGGTTTTAACTTTTTCTTCGGTTGGATTTTCCATTGCGCTTGTTGACGAAGATCGTCGAAGTCTAAATAGGTAATACATAAACCCTCTAAGTGTTCATGGATACATTACGAATTAGTTTCTCGTAAGTTAAAAGTTCTGCTATCTGAGAGTTTTTATCAGTACAACAAAGGGAAACATAAAATAGAAAGGCTGTGTTTAATAACCTAAGTTTAATTGGTAGTTCCGTTTCCAAATCGGTGATCTTTGTTGGTGTGTTGAGGCGAGAAAGGGATGCTGTACGTAATGGCTGTCGTCGAGTTGGAGTTGTTGGGGGCTAAATGGAAAAGAAACGTGCAAACCGAAAATAAGGCGATTGTTGATCTCCACCAACCACTATTTAACGGTTAAATAGCGACAGTAGGGATAGAAAGCTGACAGGGTTAAAGATTGATGTGTTGCGTGTTTTTCAAACCTTTGTTGGAGTTTTTCTTGGCGAGGGTTTTGGTCGATGCGCAACGATCGATTCGATTTCGCCGAGCTGTGAATTTTCTTCGGGTAGAACAACAATGTCGTTTATCTACAAAACAACATTGTTAGTGTCACGATAAAAAATAATTAAAATTATGCCAACAACAAAGTAAAATATTTTTATGTTACCTCTCCTTTAATAACTTGCCTCTGTAATTGAACCAAGTCGTAAAGTTGGTAGATATCCACATCCATCTCCGGTATTTGGTGGAGTCTCACAGTAGGTTTTCGTCTGATCCTCACTGTCGAGCCTGCGACGGCTTGGTGCAGAGTAGTTACCCTGAGAAAGAATTTGAGCAAATGTAATGACATTAACTAACCGTTCGTTGTGAATCTTTCCAACGTTGCCTTGCAGCCATATGATGTGCAGCTACCTTTTCCCTAAAAATTTTGAATCTATCGTTGTTGTAATTTGATAAGAGTAGCAGCAATGACAAGCAAAACATAAACTCACTGATTGAACTCAACTCGGCCCTCGGGATTTTCGCAAGTGACGCCAATGTCACAGGGGCATGGACCATAGTCTTGTCCGGCGCCATCCCATTGGCATTTGATTCCGTCAAGAGCACACTGGCATGTTTCTGGAAGGCAAATGCCATTCGGACACGAACAGCCAGCTGATCGACGACTTTCGCGCAACAATTCGAGCTCTCGGAGGCCAGCCTACAAAATAAAAGTTCTAGAAACGCTGACTAAGCCACTTACCCTTTCAACATTTACACCGGAAACCTTCAGCAATTTAGCGATTTGCTGTCTCGACATTCCTTGGATCTTTTTGGCGGTATTCCTTTCAAAATGTGGTGGTTCTTCTTCGTCGGATGACAGTTCGACCACCTGCAAATTATAATTTAACAAAGTTGTGCAACCATTCAAAACCTCGTCGTCAATTCCAATGTAAGGTTGCCCTTTACGAATAAGAGGGAACGAGCGTCGCGTATGATGACGAGTTTGCATACCTAAATTATGAGGCTTTATTTACTAAAATTAAATCTACCAAGAGAAATTTCTCCTTCGTGAGGAACAGTGTCAACCCCCTGAGCACGGCCGAAGTAATAAACCGAAACTTCACGCCACGACAGTTTGGGACTGTTGATAGGAGTGATGTTGTTGAACTCTACGGGTCTTTTGCGCAAAGCACTAAAAATTGAAACCTATAAATTATCACTGATTAGCTTACCTCCTTGTCGGTGTTGTGCTAGGATTCCAAGCCGGAGTTGTAAAGGCCTCTTTCAGCGTGGAAGCGATAGCTAAAAATACTTTAAATTCTAAACTCTATAATTTAACTCACGTTTAGTAAATTGATCCATTGTATTAAAGTCATTTATCAAATCGACGCGCAAATTGTTCAACGGGTCATACTAAAAAGACTGCAATATTTTTTCGTGTAATTTTAAACCTCTTGCTCTATGTTTGATGGCGAGTTTGGAGTATTTGTTTCCGAAGGACGAGAAAGCTGGAAAGTTTCACTTGTAACTTTCTGCAATAATGCAAAATTTTGTACCTTTTTGATCGGCGAGCGTGGTGATGTTGACGGTCTGTCTCTTGTTTCATTCATTGTAAAACCATGCGTTCGCTTTTTGTTTTGGTTTAAGTCCTTAATTTCAGCGTCTGTCACTCAACACTTTAAAGATTACCTCAGGACAAGCTTCTTTCAAAAAAGTAGCAGCAGAAATCGGCTGAGAGAACTCGTCTAAAGAGATACATATATATATCTCTTTAAAGGCACAAATTTACCAGCAGTATCAATCAAGGGCAATGACGTCGTTGGTGTTGAGTACTCTAAAAAATGTAAGTTTTTACTCTATTATTGGTTGAAAATACCATTAAATGATCCGTGTGAACTATCATATGGTAAAGTTTCGTCGAAAAAATGAGCATGCGTCACGTCCAACTCGGAAGAACCACCATCCATCTCCCTGAAAATAGGTTAATCACACCAAGTCTGACGTATATAACAATGAAACTGACATCAAAAATCGGCGGATAAACGGCCCTGTTCTTTGAAAACAAATAAAAAAAACATTTATTACCCATACCCAATAACAATTCAAAAATCAACAATAGTGCAATCTTTATTAAGCAAAAACGATCAATACCTATAATGAAAAACTTACTGTAACCACACATGAAGCGCAAATTGTGACTTAGAAACAGAAAAATCAACAAATAAAGCTCACACCAAAAATTTAACCGGATAAATTTTAGCAAAACCCAAAAAAGTAACTTTATTTATTTTTTGGAAAAGCGGCTGTCACGACGTTTTGTGGAATGCTTGATCGAAGAGGCTCGCAGAGCCTAAATTAGTGAGTTGCAATTATAACAGGCAATTAACAAGGATTAATGTAAAGTGACAAGAACATACTTATTGATAACGTTCACAACGGCTGTCTTCAAATCTGCCGGATGCAATGGAAATTGCGGATTTGAGCCGACCTAAATTCAGTAATCTTTTTAGGAACAAGATAAAATAAATAAATGCTCATAAGTGACTTAATTAATCAAGCTGTTATAAAATAAACTCACCTCAAATTCTTTCACAAGTTGATCGAAATTCTCAATCGAAATGTTTCCACCATTTTCTTCGCTCCTGCTAATTTCAAGCGCTAGAAATAAAAACTATAAAGGAAATCAATCGAACACTTACGTTCTCCATCCAGCAATGGAAAAACGAGTTGTTGCGCAAGAGTAAGAGCAACATTCCGTTTGACATTTTGCGGCTCGCAGAACGAACCGGCAATCTTTTTCTTGAGCTAAATAATTCAAATATTCACCCATCAAAAACAAAAATCAAATTGTTTACTTGTTTAGCAGTATCGAGCGGATCAAGCTGCGCATCGAGAACAGTGGCCGACATTTTGGCTTCGTTCATTCCAATCAGGCAAGGGTAGATCAACTGAGTCGGTCCATTGACACCAATGGACTTGTTCCACAACTAAATCAAAGCTGGTATTTGCTTTAAATTATGCTAATAACCTTTTCCGCTAGTGTGGCTATTTGATCCTTATTATTTTCGCCCAGCAGCACAACATCAGCGTTACTGTAGTGAACATCGAGTGCATATATTAGTGGAATCTTAATAGGAGAACACGTAGGTAGCTTTACATAACTTATTTTACCAAGTTTCCAGATAGCATTGTTCCTTCTGATGTCGATGTTTCATCTCGAGTCACAATTGAAGCCATTTTGTACATCTCCAATACGTAGTCTCTAAATAACTAGGTATTAACTTGTATGAATAAGTTTATTCACTTTGAAAAGTTATTGTTTTCATCATCCGCAGACCGGCACACTTGCACTTTGTCTTCCAAGCCCAGCAGTTGGATAACTTGTTTCAGAGCAACTGCAAAATAGGCTGCTCGTCCGTCTCGTGCTGCCCACGGAATCTATCAACTCGCTATTTTAACCAAGATTTTCCTCTCTTGTTCAAGAGAGAGATTGAATACCTTTTCGTTATCCAAGAAGCCAATCATATCGATTAGCAAAATGCTCGCTTGAATGTTAACACCACTTGCCAAATATTTCTAAAGAAATGAGTTTGAAAGATTGAAAGGGTCATTTACCTTGATCAATAGCAAGGGCATCAAGTAACCTAGATGAAAGCGCCCTTTGCAGAATATTGGAATTGAAACTTTCAGTGGTTCATTGGATTGAAGACTTCTCTTTAAAGAGTGCTCGGATCCGACAATCTAAAATAGCCTATAAAGTACACGTGATCTTATCAAGAATCTTACAGAGAGTCCATTAACGATTTGGTCAAAGGCTTTCTTTTCTGATTCTGAAAGTTGAATCGATGTTGGACTCAAAGAAACCTAAAAAAGTGTTTTGTTTACTATATGCAACCAATAAAACTTGCTTTTTGTTCGGGCACATCTTGATATCCTTTACGTATAGCATCTTTGATTTCAGGAGTATCACATCTGTTTTGGACCTAAACTAGCTGTGAATTTTGATAAAATAAAGAAACACCTTTGCCAGCAGCTCATTGAGAAATTTGTGGAGTCCTTCTTTCAAAGTAGCTCCTGTTAGCAATCCATTGATGAAAGCTCCCTTTAGCTCATCAAAAGATCCATAACTCCTGATTTTAAAAAAGGCTTGAAATAAATAAAAACAACCAACTTTCCATTAACATTGACTGGGTTTGGTAGAACAATTGGAAAAAGTACATATTGATAGAACGCCAGAACACCATTATCTTCCGCACCAATTTCACACATTGCTCCTTCAATTTTGCGTTGTACAATTTGTGGCTCATCAAGCAGATCAATTTTCGAGTTTTCTTCAGAACTAAAAAGAGTCATATTTTGCCAACAAAAAAAACGTGCCTGCTCATTTTTGAACCAGTTAGACCCGGGACCATTGGGTTCATCAAATGCCAGCGTTTTCCAAGTTTTAACTTTGGTAATTGTTCCTCAGCAAGGATAAAAATCTTTCGTTGATCAACGCCTCCAAATTGACCATCCACCTAAAACAAATATTAGAATAAAAAGAAATGGGTATCTTTGAATAAATTACCTTCAGATATTGTTCATCAAGCGCTTGCAAAAGTGGGTAAAGCAGGCCAGAGAGAAATGGTGATTCGACCTAAAAATGGTAATAACATTCAAGAACAACAACCAACCTGCTTCACAACTTCAGCACCAGCACGCAGAGCGTCTCTTTGACTGATTTTCGCACATAATCGAAGAATATCATATGTGTAGTTCCTATACAAAAGCTTAAAGTGATTAAAAAACAAGCAATACTCACTTGCTTAACTGGTAGGTGGTTCCTCGAATGAAATGCAATTGTTCAATCGGCACATCGAGAGATTGCAAAAGAGCTTTGATTACATTTTCGTAGTAAATCACTCGATTTTCCAAAAGCTCCCACGTGCTTTTCATGTTGTCGAGAAAAGCGTGTAAATCAGCAAATAAGATCGTAACCTAAAAATCTCTTAAGCGTTTAGATTAAAAGAGAATCGGTGCCGTATGTGCTAACTACATGTTATCTCATAATTTGAATGAAACCACTACCTTTAATCCCGCTTGTAGCATGTCGGCAATTTTTCTCATTGGCACCAAGTATCCAACATGCGGCTTTCCCGTCGTTGCTGTTCCCCAATAAACGTGCACATTTTTTCCACGTGCTAGCTGATCCTTCAGCTTTTCACCACCAAGAACTTCCTAGATAATAAGATTTGAGAATAAGGTTTAATTTGAAAATCCAACCTGTAAATTGCGAATAATCAAATCGTAGCGTGCCTGGTCCGTCTCCGTCAGCTCGACTCCTTTCGCCGCCGCTTTCTCAGCCATCCTAAAGTTAAAAAAGTTAAAAAAATGTTTGAAAAATAAGATATCGGAAGAGTTTAAGGGTTGAGCCAAAAATTTATCCAAAGCCTAATTGAAGCTTTATAAAACCCTGAAAGGGTGGAATCATGTTCTAGTAAAAATGATGCAATTGTAACAGAGCGCTCTACCCCCCTGACACACATAACGCCTTTCAAATGGAGCCAGAAAATTGCCGTTCGGAGTCTTGTGTAGTGCTACGAGTGTCTCTGCACGATAAATTTCCCCCTTTTCTCTTCATCTCTTATGGCGCCTTTTTATCGTGTTTCGAATGCATTTCATTGTTGTTCTCTTATTGGACTACAAGTTGATTTGGTTTTTAATTTTGCTCTTTTAGTATTGGGTAACCTGGGCGGATAAATTTTTAATGTTTGCTTTTTAAAAAAGAAAGGCATTTCCATTTCGTTTGCGAGTTTTGCGAAACCCGAAATTCAAATGCAAAGCTATACTTTTATAGTGTCCGCTGAAGTTTTTTATTTTTCTCGCCACTCGCGCGAGAAAAACAAAAAACGTAGTTTGCCTCTGGAAATGGGGACACTTGTGGGCGGTACTCCGAGGCACCCATGTTAACTCCGCCCCTTTTTCGGTCCGATTGCCGTTGGCAATCTACGAATTTTGCTTGTACCTTGACCTGTTTTTTTTTAAAAACGTCGAATTTGTTTTCATTCGATAGAAAATTTGATTTCGAGTCGAATGAAAGCAAATTCAGCGTTTTTCAAACAAACCAGGCTAAGCTACGAGCAAAATACGTAGATTGCCAATGGCAAACGGACCGAAAAAAGGAGCGGAGTTGACATGCCTGCTCTGGGGGACACATGGGGGACACTGTGAAAGTATATGCAAAGCCAAGATTCAACCTAGCTAAGATATTCAGTTGAATAGTCATCTTAATAATGAGCTACAAGAGGGCTCATTATTAAGATGTTAAACTACAAACGCTACTAGGAAAGACCTTAGAACCGCTCTTTGAAACTTTTTGAAAGCAAATTTTCGGTGTTGTTTTTATGTATGTTACTACTATAGAGCTTTCTGTGTTGGATTTTAGGTCTTTCCATGTATTAATCTTTTTTCTTTAGATGTCTTTTAATCCTGACTATGAGACAATTGGAACCGCTTTCATCGGGCACTATTATCAAAAGTTTGACGTGGGAGATCCTACGCAACGTGCCCAAGGACTCGCCGATCTGTATGATCCGGAGAACTCGTACATGACCTTTGAGGGAATGCAGGTCCGGGGACGCGATAGTATCTTGCAGAAGTTTAGCGTGAGTTCTTTTTTCGACTTTGTTTTACATCAAAATTCTAGTCGCTGACTTTTCGTCAAATTCAACGAGGGATCACAAAAACTGACGCACAACCTCTTTACGACGGATCTATTTTGATTTCGGTACTTGGGCAGCTAAAGGTATGCAAGTTTTGTGTTTAAGTTATTGATGAAGTGCAATTAATCTATCTAGTGCATTTTTCAAGAAACCTAGCTAGTCACCACCTTTAAGTTATTCAAGTATTGCAACTCTACATTTAATTATTGTTCGATTTTAGACGGACGAAGACCCCGTGCAATCCTACAATCAACTCTTCGTCCTTA